TGAAAACCCCATGAAATTTGGGGGGCCTAATGGCCGGGGGGTCTTACCGACTCCCCATGCCCTGGAGAAGAAGAAGAAGAAGAAGAGAGAGAGAGAGAGAGAGGAACCCTGCAGAAAGAAAGAGAGGGAGAGAGAGAGAGAGAGAGAGTACAGTGTAGAGCCCTTCTCGGTACGTGTTGTGGTACGTATAGTTTCTCCCCGAAAGCCCCGGAACTCTGGGGGGCCCTATGGGCCGGGGAGCCTGACCAGCTCCCTTAACCTGAAGGAAGAAGAGAGAGCGAGAGCGAGAGCGAGAAAGAGCACAGCGTCGCTATTTTAGCTCAAGTCGACCCGCCGCTTCCCGTGGAAGGGGAGTCGCGGGCAACCCTTCGTGCCTGCTGTGGGAAGCAGCAGGTCTGTCGGGTGGACGTCCTTCCGAGCGGGGGAAGGCTGGAGCCTTTCGCCGAACCGTGGGGATCATAGTGGCCCCTTGCGCATTCCTTGCCCCTCTCTTACCACCATAGGAAGGCCGCACCTGTTCCTTCTCCAGAAGACGATCCACCGGAAGAACACCATCCCCGTTTGCGTCGAGTTTGTCACAAAGGGGGAGATCGAGAATGCAAACCATGCCTACTCCTGACACTACGGAGTAAAACCCCAAACCCGTGAAACATGGGCCGGGACTTCCTCCTCGAGAGCCACGTCGAGTAGGGCAGCTCCCCTCGCCAAGAAGAAGAAGAAGGCCAAGGCCAAGACGAAAAAAAACAAAACGCAGGTGGCGCAGTTGAGGATTACACCAACAATGTGAGAGCAGTGGGTCGAGCCTTTTGCGCCTTTTCCGGCGAGAGTAAGCCTTGCCTCAAGAACCGGGGGCGCCCCTGAAGAATGTTTCTTTTTCTTGTCACGTCCAAATTTGTCAGCCTTGCGAATGGTGTTGGGTGGATGCTAGGGCGTTGGGTTTTTGAGTCTTTGCTCTCGCCCGATGGCTCCAGCTGCCAGAACTGAGCATATACCGGCCTGCATGTTGCGCAGAGTCGGGCTTAGCACAATTTTCTCTCCACCCTAGCTAGATACCTCCCGGGGGTGACAAACATGCACCCTTTGTAACCTTCCTTTCTTTCCTCTAGTTTAGAGGCCCCCAAAATAGTCTCTGGGGCTGTGTACCTTAATTTTGCAACAAGGCGATCCCATAAACACAATGCACATCGAACCTTCGCTGCGTCCAGTTTGCTATTTGTTGGTGCCCGTGTCAATGCCCAGCCAAGTCCCAAAACACTTTTTCGACAGCATGGGGTAGGTGATTTCTACGCAACGTTTTATTCATTCTGTTTTTGATCCCTGTGATTGTTGAAGCTGTTCGGGTCGTCGATGTCCCGCTGCCGAAGATCGCGCTACATCGGGGAATAACCCTGCAGCGAAGGCATTACTTGTTTTACCATATAATGTTGCTTCGAGTTATCTTCGGGAGTCATGTGCGTAGCAGAAACTCTTGGCACCTTCAACCGTCGGGGGCGCACAAGTGCCCGGGGGCGGGGGGGAACAACCCTCCACCATAGCCCTAACGAGACAAAGAAAGCACAGTGCATTGGAATGTTCCGGTTCCAGCTAGCAGCTTGTCTGACGGACTTCTGCGGTGAACTTGTTTTGCTCGTGCTTCTGCCCAGATAGTCTCTCCATGCGTGATTGCTGTTCACATCTGTTGGCTATGTGCATCTCCGGACTCCAAAGCTTGCATAGCTGGAATGCTGAAATCCGTGAAAGTCGCCGCAGGGCCCAGCAGAGTCCGATCCACACCCGGTGGAGCCTGAGGAGGACGACGCGGCCCAGGCCTGAGCGGCCCGGTCGAAAAGGGTTCCGGCGGTATGGGGCAGGGGCGATATGGGCTAGGGTTAGAGATGTCACTGCAGGATGCTTGGAGCCTGAGGGGAGGGTTGCATACACCGGTGTACCCTTGATAATGTTTGGACGCAGGATGCGCAGCCGGGCAAGGCGGTTGAGCGCATGTTGAGGACTGCCCGCCAGTGATAGCAACCGATGTGTACTGCTTTGAGGGGTTTGTAGAACTTGCAGATGATCGCCTGCCGACACACAACAGCATGTTGCATAGCAATTAGCATGATCCTATCTCTAGTTTGCCTCGACGCTGGCGTGGCATTGTCCGGATTTGTATGGCCCTGTGTTAGCTGCTAGAGTGCAGCCTTGTCCTGTCCTGGTACTGCGAACCAAAGCGAAAGCGGTGTTGGAGGTTTCGGAACATTCCTTTGCCCGTTGTTTGAAGCATGGCTCCTGAGCCCACGGGTGCAGGAATCTCAAGAGCAACGCAGAGGCGATGATTTCACAAAGTGCTAAGCTGAAGTGCTTGGCAGCGTTGTTCTTTGGCTTTCAAAACGCTGCAGATCTCGCATCAGCCCAACCACCCCTAAGCCGCACTAGAACCAGCTAGAAGTAACCAGCACAGAGTAAAAGACCCGTCAGTTGAGATCCCAGACCAGGCATTCGAACTCATGTCAAAGTTGCGAATCAGATTTATTTTTCGATCATCTCAGAACCCATTCTTTTCAGCTTGGTCCGCACTGCCATTCAGGTTGCCGACCTTGGAGTCAGGTGGGCATCGGACCCTGATCTTCTCACAGGGCATACGGATGATGGATCTGGTGGCCAAGCAGCGTTCACGAGATAAGCTAGAGTCAGCTAGAGCACCAACAAATACCTTCTTTTCGATTTCTGTATCAAGCGTAGTTACCTTAGTTAGTCGCTCTTGAAAGTTTTCAGCGCCCAGTCATGCGTCCTCGTGTTTGCGGCTGAGCTTGTTCGTAAACGAGGTGGAAATCTGCATCCTCCGGAAACAGAAGATGAAGTACCTGCGAATCGACGGCCACACGGAGATCGCGGCCAGGGAAGGGTCGGTTGGTTGAAAGGCCTTTATACACACAGGTAGATGTTTTCATAAATTATTCACTTTTCCAAAGTACCTTATTGGCGCATCGTTTCTCCTTCTGTCACACGCAGCTTTGCACAGTCGCATCCGATTGCATTTTGTTCTGTGCTGAGCAGTCCTGCAAGAAGACCCCTACTTACATCTACCATCATTCTATGCTACTGTAAGGGATGAGCAAAGAAGGCCAGAGAGAAAGAAACAGGTTCTATGCTACTGTAAGGGATGAGCAAAGAAGGCCAGAGAGAAAGAAACAGGTTCCAGGTGCATTCGGGGCTTTGTCAGATGACCGAGAGGCCCGAAACGAGCGAGTGCGTTTATTCCAGACGCAGCCGCAGTCCTACACCTGTATGCTGCTGAGCCTTGGCTACAGAAGGATCTTGCCGCTCTAAACCGATTCGCTGTCGCAATTCGCATCTACACACTCGATGTCTTTGCGCCTAGCACCGACCACCTCCTTGCATTGGCCTATCGAGTGTCTGCCTTATGCCACGCACAGGGTTCGACACTATTTTGGCAGCTCGAAGGACCACGAGAGTGGGTGGATTCGGCTTGAACCTTACCTCGGCAGATCGCGTGATCATCCTCGACCCGGCGTGGAGCCGTGGCATTCTCGTAGTTTTCGGAGATGAGGCTAGGACCTGACATTATGTCCGTTGCTGTAGGAAGCATTTTGAAGATTGTTGAAGTGTAGACTGGTGCCCGCCGGTCGCAAATTATCGCCAGCAGCCTTTCGGATGATTGCATGATGCCGTACGTATGGACTCACCCCTGCGTGCTCGTCCCGATTGTTTACCCATGCTTCCAGACCAGGAATCCTGCCGTCGACATGCAGGCCGTCGATCGGGCGCATCGGATAGGACCCTGTGCGCACCGCAGCCAAACCTAAGTTGTCTGACAGGCTCCAGGTCATCCGGTGGGGGGGGCGGGGGGTGCGGGGGGTGCGGCAGGAAAGTTGCCGAGCTTTCGGCCTGTGTATGCTTCCCGAGAGCGTCGGGTTGAATGGCTGACCGTTCCAGATTCCTGGAAAAGCCTTTCGGCGGTTCTTGTGTGGCCCACATACCTGCGGCACAAAGGCGCGAAGCAGTGAACCTACAGCAAGCAGTCTTTCCCAACCGGCCTACTCCCGGCAGATGACCTGTGATGTGGAAGTGCCCAAACTGTATAACGATTTAAGACCTGTCTAGCTAATCCCAGAGCATGCGAGGGCCTATTTTGCCTTTGGAGGACAAGACAGGGAGGTCAAAACCTACCGATTGGTCATGAGACTTGGCTGTCATTGCTTTTCGTCTATCAGCACGTCACGTTGCAAGATGTATCATCATATTATCATTATATGATCAAAGTCAAAGTGTGATCTGGTGCGGCATAGCTATGGAAACTCTAAAAGGTGTGCAAGCTCGAGTAAGTACCGAGAAGCCGTGGACTTTTGCTTGCATTTCGTGGATTTCGTGATTCAGCCAGCGACCTTTCCCATGCTTTGGACGGTTCGGGCTGCACCTACTGCAAGTGGCCCTGTTGAACCGTGGGCATAGGGTCTGCGCCCATGTAGAACTCTTCGTTGTGATGACATGCATACCCGCTTTGAATGGTCGCCCCTGTAAGGCGGATGTTATTGGCTAGAATACGCAAGGACTCACAGCCTCGCAACTGCGGTAGCCCTCCGCCTTGAGCCCGAGAAACCGACAAGATGTCACCGAGGAGTGGCCTGATTGAAGACAAGATGTTCCGGCTTCAGGTCTTCAAGATGGGCCTGCGCCCCGTCGAAAGAGATCTTTTCTCGCAGGTCCGATCCCCAATTGTGCTATCCCCTTCGACATTACATACCCAGCAGGTAGCTTGGCAACCTGGCATAGCGCCATGTGCCACAACTCAAGAACTGCCCACGATTTGTCGTTTAGCCTTGGCTCCCACTCCGAGCCGGAGGTTTGTCGTCCCGCCGTCACTATTCATGGGCGATGACCTACAGTATTATAAATATTGCAATACGTAGTAAGTAGTTCGATCCTCGTTAGCTGTATCAGAAAACGTAGTGTGCGGCAGGGTACCATGCATGGACGCTGTCGCAATTAAGGTTGCGGTTGACAGTTGACAGTGGTGCTTAGTGCTGCAGCGTTTTCGTGCTAACATGCACAGGACCAAAACAGCTTTGGAGACAAAGCAGCAGCAGCGGCACTCTGGCATGTTTCAGCTAATGCCTGCAGGAAGCGTCGGGAAATCTACAGGTTTTCCAGCGCGTAGGCATGTTGCGGAACGGTGGATGAAAGTAGCAAGCTTCAGGCACCATGGCTGGCCCGAACTATGCGACAGGTCAGTCTTGGAATTGTCATGCGATGCTTGCACCTTGAACAAACAGCCAAGCCGTCGGACACAAAGGTATTTCACAGCCGAAGAGATTCACGGCCTGTTCGAATGGACCGACCCTGCTCATGGTGAGACGCGGGCACTACTAAGACATCAACATGGCATTGAGGAGCCCGGGCTGTTGGTGTTGTGCAGTTTGAAATTTCGGAGCAGGTTTGGGCTTCGTAGTGCGAGCTTGTATGTATATATATACATACATACATACATACATACATACATATATATATATGTTTTCTCAAAGCTGATGTTTTTTGCCATTCTGAAGTGAGTTGGGTGATCGTCCTGCTAGTTGTAGTTCCTACTGCAGCAGAGCCTGCATTCGACCTTGAAATGCTTGGTCTGCTTTCGTCCTATCAGTTGTAGGAATGAGTACTGTAAATCGGCTGCATCAAAACTTAATGCCGCCACAACTAGCACCTTGTGGCGATCATGTATGCTTCGAAAACCTCCCGTGCTGATCGTGTAGAGCGTTTTTGCAGCACCTCGTGGCGACAAGGACTGCGCGGCACAGTGTGATGCGCCCGATGAGTGGCTGAAAGCTGGCCCGGCTGTGTCTCGGCCGAGTCAGAAGACCCCAATTCGCCCGACTCGTTCTTGGTTTTGCATTGCCATCTAGCCGAACCTAAAACCATGTTATATCTCTTCGGTCGGGATCTGCCGTTGAGGGGCGACCTCCTGCGACTGTAAGGTCGGCCTCAGCAGCTTCTCCTTCTTGTACAGCACCCTGCAGGGTGAGCAGGACTGCTCTTCAGTTCGCAAAGTTACGTCCACCGTTGCAGGCTGTTGTCACCTCTCGCCTTGCTCAGCCTGTACACGCACGGAAGGACGATGAGCTCGCGGGGGCAGCACCGGAAGTCAGGAGACAACAATTTCTTGCTCAGTCGTGAGAGCGGGGGCTGGTGTTCGTGACATATTAGCTGGCATGTCTGCCTAGTCTTCAAGAACTGTGAACATTGCTTAAGCTTAATGGGCAGATCTCTTTCTCATTGCAGCCAGCTCTAGTACTGTGCGACTTGATGCTGTTCGCCTTTTCTTGCTATGCAGTGGGGCTGAATGCCGCTGAGCACAAAGCATCCTCTCACATGTTCGACTCTGGATGTCCGTAATTACTGCAAATGCCTTTGGCAACAACATATGCTGCCGGCCAGATGTGAATGGCACCTACTTTCATGCGTTGGAGGGGGCAGCACCTCACTTCAAGTGCTTGGAGGAAGAGAGCAGATAAGCTTTGAGGGCAGCTGCCAGAAATGTTCTTCCAAGTGAAATGATTTCGAAAGTATAGGAATCGAAGTTGCAGTCTTCTTTTGAGAATACTTTGCGCAAGTTGTGGATGGGACCAACCATAAAGAGCCGCAGCACAAATTTCACTCGCTAATGAATCCTGGCCGTAAACGACTGGGACATAGATCCAACCTGGTGAGCGCGGCAGGCTGATGAAGGCCAAGCTCAAGATCGCAGAGGACGCTGCCGGGAAGGCGGCGGCGGCACGACTCGTGAAGGCCGCAGTATACACTCCCCTTCGAGTTGGCGGCTGTTCTGAGAGGCTGAGTGTTTCGTTCTTTGCTTCTGTTCATGACATTTAGGTATGCAGTGCGGGATAGGGTTTGGCTGGGAAGGTCATGGAAGCGACTGGTCCACGGCCTGGGTTGTGGCATGTAAGTTTGGGTGTCTTGCCTTTTGAACAGCAGGAATGCTTGACCTCGCTTGGGGACTCGAATGTAGCAAACTGAACAAAAAAGGCTTGCAACACAACATCGACAGTCTATGGCCTTTGGGCTACTACAATACTACCTAAGGCTAGTTAACACGTCAGGCTTACATCGATTGCCAGCTCGCATGGATGACTCCGGCCCATACGTATGTTCACATATGCAACAGCTAAAAACAGGGCTCAGCAGATTGGACTGTTGTCCTGCAACCTGGGTTCACAAGTCAGGGTCTTGGCATCTAAGAATCTAAGCCCTCCACAGTCTGGCCTTCGCTTGAAGGAAGGCTCCCTCACGACAGCGCAGCAGCAGTTGGAGAAAGCCGCGGCATCTCGGCTCTTGCACTCTTCGCCACTCTTAACCGGGCCTGGCCTCTCCGAGCACTCGCCAAGAGCACCTCAAGCCAGACGGTCAATTTGTTGCCGTAGTTGTTGCTGCTCTAAGGCCGAAATCAAGAGCGCGACCTCTGCGCGTTCTACTGCATCCGAGCAGTTGAAGAGAGCTCAGGCCTTGTGCCTGTGCAACCGCGTGGAAGTTTTTCGGGTTTGTTTTGTTTCCCAACAACTACCGACGCCCCTTATATGGGTAGGCTTCAGAGCATGCCCAGCCCGCCTCTGATCCTGTCAAAGGCATTTCACCTGCAAGTGAAGCATGTTGCATGAACAGTTGGGATGGCTCGGTCTGGATGCAGAAAGCCAAAGCCGGCTGTCATCGTAAGTTCCCCAGTGACAAGGACAACATGCACAACTATCCACACCTTGATTTGCACTGTCTCAGCAATGCTTGAGGCGGCACTGGGACAGTCTAAACGACAAGAAGGCCTGGTGGAGAAGGAAGTCGTGGCCCGGCAGCTGTCTTCAAGGTGTAAGTGCAGCACGAGAGGTGGAGGTTCTTTGGCGATGTGCTGACAGTGCGCCTTCAAGAGCCGTTCAAAAACGACATGCAACTCCCGCAACCTTCACTTACCTTTGGTTAGTATGGAATGGAGGAATGTGAACCATTATAAGTACCATTACTACCATTCTTCCATTCCCTACTAACCAAAGGTAGGTTCAGCCAAGGAGAAGGCCCAACAGAGCCTTGAGGCCTCGGCGAAACGCCTCGCAGAGGCTGGAGGGCAAGGGCATCTTGCTCTGGAGTATTGAGCAAGGCAAGGTTGTGTGTCCAGGGTGCTCTACCGTTTGAGGAAGTACCGAGCAGATGCAGTCGGAAACTGCTTTCAGAAAACTACGATTTTAATGCATGTTTTGGAACGGCTGGTTTGGGAGGATCTTGCTCCTGGTGATTGAGCATGAGGGCCGGTGCTTTAGAATAGAATTTGTTGGGCCGCACGGGAGTTGCATTTACAGGCCACCGGTAACGAACACGTGAACTAATTGCAAGATCTCCGACTTTCGTTTTGTTGTCGTACTGTAGCATGTCTCCAACTCACCCGCACTTACGACGTCGAGGCCGAAGCGAAGCGAGACCTGCACGACGCAGAGGCGAGCTTCTGCTTCCCGTTCCGTAGTCCAGGGACAGGGAGAGTCCAACTCGGTTCTCAGCCTGATGAGGGCATGATCGACTGGCCGGAAATAAGTCCGGGGGACCCGTGTAAACCCAATATAGCTCACGAAACTCAACCGAGCTTTCCAGGTCACCAGCGGCACCGACGAGGCCCGCCAGGGTGCAACAGCACTGGAGGCCCGCGCGGGCACCTTGCGTGCGTGGAGGGCTTGACAACCACACTCATCGCTCATTCATCGACGGAGGGGCCTTGGGCCGTGCAGCTTGGGGGAAGCAGTTCTGCAAAATCATGCCTTGGATCTGAAGAATCCATGTGTTTGCCGCAAAGGCTATACGTAAGCTCCGGCATAGACGTCGAGAACTAATCCTCGGCTAGAAAGTTTCCACGTCCTGCAAGTTGTGGAAGACAGAAGCACCTGTCCGCAAGCGTGCATGACGCAGACTCATAACTCAAGCGAAGATTGTTCTCCTAAGTGAAGACAAGCTCTCACATAGCTTTGTGTGTTTCGTCGCGTTTGTTGACACGGCCACCACTGGGTCGATGTGGTTTACTGGCCCATAGCCCCCGAGAGTATCCCAGTCGCTGTGTGCGCTGAAACCCACTGAAACCGTATGATTCACGTAGATTGCACAGGCTAAACTATTCTAAGCTGTGTCTGCAACACGAATTAAACGCCCAGGCGCGGTCGCAATTGTGACAGTTTCGTAAGTTGTCTGTAACACGAGAGCGCATCCAAAAACGCCAAGGTACGCTTGCAATCAGGGTACCGATACAATGAACCAGAGATGATTGTCTGTCAGTTTGAAGTCTGCCTGGGGTTTCGGGCGTCGAGCGCAAGTGACGAAAGCTTGGCCCGAAAGGATTTGGTGGTTCTGCAGGGGATTTGAGAGGTATTATGTTGCGTTGAGTCGAATCTGGAAGGGTCACCTAGGGCGGTTCGCCTTATGGCGGCTTCTTTGCTGCATCTACTGCTCCTACAACAACAACAACTACTACTACTACTACTACTGCTGCTGCTGCTACTACTACTACTACTACTACTGCTACTACTACTGCTACTACTGCCACCACCACCACCACCACCACCACCACCACCACCATCGTTTTTTTTGTCTCTTGTTGGTCGTTTTGCTTTGTTTGCCTTGTTGTCGGCGGCACTAGTGCGCGACACTTTCACCAGCAGCGTCATAAACTTATGGTTTTTTCAGTTACCGTTGCCGTCACCATCATTCAACCACCACATCACCAATACGCTCAGCATCGTCGTGGCCGATGGCTGTGGCGCGCCGCCGTTGCTAGCATTGCCGCCATAGAACGAGGTTCACCTAGCAGGCTTAGATTTGTTGAGCTGGTCTACATCAGCTAGTAGTAGTAAGCACACTGTAAAGACAGAGGCGCAGTTACTTCAGACCTGCCGGTGCAGGGGACGATCGTGGTGAAGATAATGAAGTTGATGAAGATGCAGTGATGACGGTAGACGAACGGATGCAGAGAAAGTTCCCCCGGTAGATATACAGGAGCGTGTAGGTGGGCAGGTGGAAGCAGATGAGCTGGTGAAGGTGGTTGTAGGCAGCCGGATGCATTTCCTCGTACCTGGATTTTCGCAGTGCAGGAAGCCGAGACCAAGCTCTCAAAGACGCTTGCCCAGGCAAGGGCTTGTAACCCACTCAAGTTGCAGTGGCATAATAGTCACCTGCCCAAGATGCGTTGAGGCAATGCACAGAACCTGCATGAGCCTGAGGCGGAAGGCCCAGAGATCCGGTAGATGAATCTGTAAAACCTTGACAGGTGCTCGGAATCCTGTCAGGAAGAGTTTGTCAGGAGCTGTTGCAGCAGATCTGTCAAGACGTCGAACCCGTTGATTTCTTCAACTCGGCGCCTTTTGGGTGGGTGCTCTTGAACCCCAAGCCGGAGCGCCCATGTGACGAGCAATGAGCACCTTAGACCTTAGATCGTGGTTGCCCAATCCGCTTCGCCCCAAGAACCTCAAACACGGTATGTACATGCATGCCAACATACATACACAAGAATATGTGCGAACAGAAAAAGCACATGTATTTATTTGACATGGATGCAGATGTGCATGTACGTGTATTGCTGCTTTCACGAGCAGACTTCGGCAGGTCGAGGCCGAGCTTGAGAAGGGCTCAGCGCTTGAAGGGTCCGTTGCCAAGATCAAAGCAGCGCAGAAGGCTTCGAGTTTGGAGTGTGGGAGAAAAGGGTTTGGGGGGTGTGGGGCTTATAAAGCCTTGGGACCGAAGCACTTTGCTTGCAGCTTCAGCTTGATCTTACAGCGCAAACCTCCTTTATTCTCGACAGCTTTCTGAGACATTTACAGCTACTGGAGCTTTCGGTGGCAGTTCAATCCCCCCAGCTCACATTGCACCCGACAGCAGAACCGTCGAGCACTCAAGTCGGAATGCCACTCAAAGCCTTTACATGTTCGGAAGACTTTTAGAAGACGTACACTTCAGCTCCGTGACACCTCACAGTGCAGTTCACACACCTGGCCCTGCAAGAGAAGGAACGGTACCACAGACAGAACGACGACTCCGAAGATTGCAATCTGCATCAGCCACAGAATGCATCTCCCCGAACACCGCCCAAAGAAGGACTTTGGTCCAACACCAAAGAGGCGCTCCACGTGAGACACGAAGCAAAAGCCTGATTTTTGCAGGCCGCTGCGCGGCTTGCTGAGGCTGACGAGGTGATCTCAAGCAGTTCTTCTCAACTTTCAGGTTGCATAGTGGCTTTTCAACTCGTGTCGGAGAGCTGCATTGACGACCTGATGTTCGAGGTTTCGCGATCAGACTTCTTGTGCATGCACAAGCTGCCATTGCTGAAATGCCGTTGTGAATCCTCTTCCCGAGCAGTCCCGAATTCAACTACATCACCTGTCAGACATGTCTGCGCCAGGCTGCACGCAGGGCGCGCGAAGCAGCCAGTGAAGAGTGGGTTCTGAGCCAGCACTGTGAGTGGGCTTCAGACCTGTTTGCTATCGCTGGAATTGTGGCGGTCCGGCGGTAAATTCGCATGAAAAATCCTGTGACTACTTCTACTGCGACTGCTGCTGCTACTGCTACTGCTGGTGTGGCTGCTGCTGCTATTACTACTACTACTACTACCACCACCACCACCACGACGACGACGACAACGACTACGGCTACTACTCCTCCGACGACGCTTACTACTACGATTACTACTAGTACTACTACTACTACTACTACTACGACGACGACGACGACGACTTTAACGGTGTTATTTCGTTTTTGTGTATGGCGATGACACATGACGCTGTAACAAACGACAGCGACGACGAGTACCGCCTCCATGTGTACCGTCGTGCTTGCCTTCCTGGTCATTATTGTGGCACTGTTGTTTCCTGCGTTCCCGAAGCTTGTTCGCGACCCGCATGCATGTCGGAGTCCTCAGCGCTCCGAGGACAAAGCGCTTGAAATCGAGTCTCGGTGTGCAGAGCGACTCGATTCAATCTGGGGCACTCCCATTTTTCACAGAAATGATCTTAGTCCCGTTTGTCTCTGCTTCTGAAGCCTACATACCCTGAGCCTCCCGGAATCTGGCTTAACAACCCGGACCCATACCCAGCTGCTTTCATGACGAAGCGCCACAAGACTTGGCGCACCGAGGCATCAGACAGACATGACCCTGGCCATGCAGGGGCTTGCACCATCTGGATCCCCGCCGCTCAAGACCCTGCAGTCGGTGGCCTGTCTCAGTACACTTTGGGGTGCCAGAGGGATTTGGAGTCCTGGAATTGAGCAGCCAGGGCTTTTGGATTGAGGTCCGGGTATGCGCCGTTTGAGATGGTGGGTGTTCCTATCCGTCAACGTGTAGGCGTGGGGTCCCAAACCTGCCGCCCGTGTGCTGCTGCACGGCCTCTGGCTCTACACGGCCGAAGATATCCTACCACGATGAAACAATCGTAATGCGAAGCCGGTTCAATCTACGCACGACATTTCTTCTGCGCTTGCATGCCACTGGGTGCAAGCAAGAAAGCAAGCGGGCCGGCAAGCAAGCAAACAAGCAAGCAAACAGGCAGGCAAGACAGCAAGCAGGCCAGCAAGCAAGCAAGCGGGCCGGCATGCATACAAGCAAGCCAACCAGGCAGCCAGCAAGCAAGCAAGCAAGCACAAGTCAAAGCCGTGCGAGCTCGCTTCAAAAGAACATCCTGCCAGCAAAAGCAGAACGCAGATGGATCGTTGCAGAACTCCTGATGCAGACATTGTGGTTGCAAACGGGGCGGCAACGCCCCGCCCCAAACCCCCGCTCTCTTTTAGCCATGCCGCAGGCTGCGGGTCGCGGGCCCGTGGAAAGTTGGGGGCGGGTTTAACAAAATGTGCAGAATCGGAATCACCTACGGGTGGGGGGGGGGGGGGGGGGGAGGGG